AGACTACAGTATTGAAATGTCGCAGGGGTTCACAAACAAAGAACTTGCCAAAGGATAGATCTCAAAGGATAGGTCTCAATGATGCCCTGTAAGAAAAAGCCCACTCAGATGTCCCTGCAAATTTCCTTGAGCTCAGTCTCAATCAAAAGCTTGATAAAGAAAATATAGATTACTTGATCCAGTTGATAATTACAGAAGATATTTTAAAGAAATCAGATGTGAAATTGCCTGTCATCTAAGAAAAATATTTAACTTGTGCCTAAAAGCAGTTGCAAAAATGTCATCAAACTAGAAAGTGCTCAATGCATCTTTATCTCCCAGTTTACTTGAAGGATACAGCAAGAGAAGCAAGAGAAGGGAAGAAAAATGAAGATCCTAAGCAAAGGGTTAGTTGGCTTAAGGCAGAGAAAACAGGACAATAACTCTGAAGTCAAGAAAGGTTTCCTATGAAGTAGGAAGACAAAGAAGTATTAAAATAGCTAAATTAAAAAGTTGCTATTTCTACAAACTTGGCTGTGAAATTCAACTGTACTGTATGTTATTTATTCTTTCACTGCAGCATTGTGACTTAACAACACCAGACAGGCAATAAAGAGTTTTCTTTTTAAGACTATATTGGGGTGGAAAAATCAACAAATTCTTCAAGGTCAGGCATGCATAAATCACTTGCCAAAACCCATGTACCAAGTGGTACATGATATCAAACAATTCAATATTCCCAAAGTCAATTAATCATTCTTTTCCATTCCAGCCAAAAACTATGTTATTAGGATTGGAAAAGCAAGGAGAACTTTTGAGCTGTGGTTTCAGTTCCTGAGTGTTTTGAATCTGGTAATTTTAGTATCACATTTAATATCCAGAATATTACAGGCAGCAATACTTCCTGAATTTTAGTGCACCAGGAATGGAGGAAGGAAGTGATGGTATGAAGACAGATTGTGGGAAGTACATTTGTTCATATCATGTTTTCCATATCATGTTTACATCAAAACGTAGCTATTGATTTGAAAATGAATGATGAAATTCATTTCAATATTACGGAGTTTATAAATAATAGGATAACTTTAGTTTCTAACTTCCTAACAGTTGAGAAACTGTTATATGAGGCACACAAATGTCATCAAATATTCACAATTTCAGAAGAAAATTATTAAGGCTCAAACATTTGTTTTACTAATAATGCTTTAATATACTTTATTTTTTTAAAAAAATCTTTTAAAATAAGAATTTCATTTATGGACTTGACTTAAGCAATTGTCTGATTGTCTTGTATATTTATATGAGCAGCAACATTTGCTATTTCAGAATGTAAATAACAGAAAATCAATTTAGAAGTATATGTTATCAAGGAGAAGTACCATTAAATTCTTAATAAAATATTTATCTAGGGAATAACTGTTTAAGACTTTACCACTCTTAGACAGCATAGTGGTCATGAACAAGTGTGAATGTGTGTTTGATTGAGGCAATGTTCACTTCCCCAACAAAATAGCAGGTATGTGTTAACATAATAAATTTATGAAAACAAATTAGCTAACCACATTTTAGAAAGCGAATATAAATTTGTACAAAACTGCTCATGTGTATTGATTTGACTAGCCATTAAGTTAGTAGCCTCAAATTTTACTTCAAAGCAAGGATGAAAAATATTATTTCTTATAGTGTAGCCTCCTTAGATTTACTTTGCTTACTTCTGGCAGATCTACCATTTAAATTAAGGTTAAATTAAATCAGAGTTCTAAAGTGGAAAAAAACCAAAGCAAATGATTATGTGTTTTTGCAGATTGGCTTATTTCAGGATAGAATCAACAGAGAATGTTAATTCTACTGAAACCATGAGGATTGTTTATGAACCAAATGTTAAGCCACTGTAACTAAGACCATGGAGGACATAGAGAGAATGAAAAACCAAGAGTTCAGTCTAGCAATAAGATTCTAGAACAAGAGTAGTGAACAGCTGGCACTCTAGACATTCTTTAAAATAATATCCAGCATCCCTCACCATGAGCCCTATATCGTAGGTATACTGGGAGTTGTAGTTAGTTAGCAACCTCTGGATTGCAATAGATAACTTCTTTCCTAAAAAGGCAAGAGCCACAACGTCATTATTTAATAATGTCTTTAGAAATAACTGTTCTCAAATTTGGGGGTTTCCATAACCCACGCCAGACAATAACAACTGTCTCGGTGCACATCTAGCTGGAAAAGCAGTTAAATCACTATTATTTGAAATTTGTACTTGCATTTGTATTATAATTTTATAAAATACTATATTTAAATATCTCTTTTATTCGTTAAACATGAAACTCAATCAACTGAACATTTAAACTGAGTTTCATAATTATTATTATCATCTCTTTTATTCATTAAACATGAAACTCAGTCAACTGAACATTTAAAAATGTGTCACAAATACGATTGACTGGTGCTAATGGTTGATACGGGTTGCTGCCAGCATCCTAGGTATCAACCAAGTATTTTCTTAAAATATATGATGTTCCGAGTAGCACAGTTTTTGCAGTTCCGCTGTTGTTGTTGTTCTTGTTGTTCTTGTTATTATTGTTATTGTTGTTGTTGTTCTTAAAAAGTGCAATAAAATACCAGTGTGATTAATAAAAAACCTTCTTAGAATTGTCACATATCTCCTACTTGGCTGGGAAAGTAGACATTTTCTCAATCAGACATATATCCACTCTTTGTATACTGCTACTATCTTGCTCCAGGAGTGGTAAAGTCTTAAGTACAATTTGCAACCCACCATTGAAACCAGAATTTCTGTTGCTAACTAAGGAGATTGTTAAATGAGACAGGCCCAATTTTACAGCCTTTTTTAACACGTTTGTTAAGTGAATCTTTGCAATTGTTCAGCAAATCTGGCTTCCCCCATTGACCTTGCTTGTCAGAAGCCAGCTAGGACAATTTCAAATGGCGATGATATGATCCTGGGATACTGCAGCCATTGTAAATACATGCCGATTGCCAAGTACCTAAATTTTTCAGTACCCTTAATAGAAAGAGAAATAGTTTTCCCTTAGGACCTTCAGAGCAACAATTAACAACCCTTCTGAGTAACACTGAGATTTGCATTTCTCTTTGAAATATTTGTAGCACAGTGATTCCTGAATTCAGATTCAACATTAGACTAATCGTACAAAATAAATTCTGAAAGAAAAAAAAAAGCTTTATTTGTGGCTGTATGCAAAGAGGATTTATAAAATTATACTTCTGATAAATTAAATCTACATAAAGATTATTATTTTAAAATATTCAGATCTTGAATACAGTACAACACCATTCTTCTCTCTCTCTCTAATACCAAATGCACACATAAAGGTGATCTGGAATTGAGTTGAATTCAGATAATTTCCTGAATACATCCCAGCAAACTCCTGATGAAATTTGCTATTGCCTTTTTCCAGGAAGCTTTTTCCAAATTCCCTATATATTCCACAGCTCTGGATATCAGATCTGGCTATTGTAAATTCACATGGCGTGCCCTTATAAAAGTTTGATTTATATTTTTTCAATTGCTATTGTATCTATTGTGATTCCACCAGATAAGATCTATTCTTAAAATGCTGCCTATGGTCAGTAGGATAAAATTGTGGAGGTGTGAGATCCTTGCATGGAAATAAGGTGTTAACTAAGTAACTTCTTATAGTTTATTCTTTTCTTTTTTTTAACCTCTTCTTTTTTCTTTCTAAATATTAGTTCTTGTTAGTTTTTGGTCTGTTTTAAAAATTGTAAAAAACATAAAATAAAATAAATAATTCAAATCCCTTGCACCAATCCATGTAATTCAAATCCCTTACACCAATCCATGTAACACAATCCATGCAGTGAAGGTTATTATGGCCGAACCGAGCATTATTTTGGTAGCATAAATCTGACCAGTCACTTTTAAATAAAAGTTGTTGTTGTTGTTGTTGTTGTGGTTGTTGTTGTTGTTGTTGTTATTATTATTATTATTATTATTATTATTATTATTATTATTATTATTATTATTATTATTTATTGGTTAATCTTTAGTGAGATTCACAGCCTTTGAGGCTGGTTAATAGCTCAGCAGCTCGAGTCCTAACCAAGGACCTAGGAACTGTTAAGGTATCGTCGGAGGATGTAAGCTGTTCCGAGTAAGGTGGTTTTTTGTAGAGTCAAAATGTTCAAGTCCGGCAAATTTAGAATTTCTAAATAGCGGGGTAGCCCTTTGGGTATTGCTCCGAGGGCTCCAATTACAATCGGGACAACACACAATTTCTTTTTCCACAGTCGCTCAACTTCAATTTGTAAGTCCCGGTACTTTGTGATTTTTTCTTGCTGCTTATCTTCAATTCGTGCATCACCAGGTATTGCAATGTCAATGAACCATACTTTTTTCTTTTCAACTATTGTTATGTCAGGTGTGTTGTGGACCAAGTGCCTGTCAGTCTGAATCCTAAAGTCCCGCAAGATCTTGAGTTTCTCATTCTCTAAAGCTTTCTCAACCTGATGTTCCCAGTGGTTTTTGCTGTACTCAAATCCAAACTTCTGGCACAATTTCCAGTGAATGATTTTAGCAACACGGTCATGGCGTTGTAGGTAGTCAGTTTGTGAAATTTTGCTGCACCCACTGATCAGGTGGTCAACTGTCTCTTCTTTTTCATTGCAGAGGCGGCATTTGCTGTTGGTGGTAACATGTTGAATTTTTGCCTTCATACAGTTTGTGGCTAGGGCTTGTTCTTGAGCTGCCAAAATAAAGCTTTCTGTTTCTTTTTTCAGTACTCCTGATCTTAACCAGTTCCAAGTTAGTTTCTGGTCAGCTTTGCCTTCAATACTTTTCAAGTATTGGCCATGCAGAGTTTTGCTTTTCCAATTTTCAGCTCGCTGCTCAGTTACTTCTTTCTTATATTCTGCTTTTGTTTTAGTTGTCTTTAAAAGGCCTCCTTTATTTACTTCCTTAATCATTGGTTCTTCACTTTTCTGGATGTAACCATTCAAGCTGCGTTTTTCTTCTTCCACAGTCTGCTTTACTTGTAGGAGTCCTCGACCACCTTCTGCTCTTGGTAAATATAATCGGTCAATTATTATTATTATTATTATTATTATTATTATTATTATTATTATTATTATTATTAACGATGCTCTGAAATGGTGCAGTTTGGTGAATGTCCTTGACACGTTAATCCCCCGGGGATTTCTCCTGTATCCTTTCATCTGAAATAATGTTGAGAAAGTTTAGACTCTTTTTCACTGTGACATATTTATGCTACTTTGAAAAGCCTTTGATAGATGCAAATAAACAGAACATTTTTGCCCCCCAGGGAAACAAACCTGGGAAAAGGTTGCTCATTGCACCAATCAGAGAAAAGGGCAAGAGGGAATGGGGACGATAAGGAAAACAAGAGTTCTTCAGTCAGGTTCAATCCTTCCTTTTGTTCCCATCTCTATTGCTCTAATAGCGCAATGGCAAACATTTCTGTGTCTGGCTAAAAAAAGATCTACATGGATATTTCCATGTAGGTCACTAGGAACCAAGCTTAATTAGAAAACAACTTTACTTTTCCCAGAAGTTAGCACAAATGCTACTTTAACCTTAATTGATTACAGGGAAAGCCTATGACTCAGAAACAAATCCTATCTCACTCTTTTGACTAGAATTTGCATATAGGATTGCAGTTTAAGAGACTGTACCATAACCCAGTGATCTAATAGCAATGCTAAAACCTTGCTACGGTCTTTGGAAAAGTACTGTATATATGAGGTATATATACATGCTCAACCAAACCAAAACAAGTCATATTTGGGTTTAGTATTTGAGAATAAAGCCATTCACAGCTGAGTTCTGGAGAGAAGGGAAACAATTAGCTGTGTACACAGTAGAAGCATCCTTGCTTTAAAATATTTTCCAAGTAAAAATACCCAGCTGTGCCTTCATCATTCTAACACAGCTACTGTGGCTCACCAATCCTGCAAAAGACATTTTTAAAGATATTCCTCACACATTTAGGATTTCCCAAAAGGATCAGCTTATTCTGAAGAAATTGGGTGAGTAGTAAATCTAGGTTGTCAAGTAGATGTTTCTAGAGAAGACAGTCTATCAAAGTTGCCACACATAGGTTTCCTGAGTGAACTGATGGCGATCTACATTTCCATCTATTGCAACAAGTAACCTAGTCCACTATGTCAAGTAAATCTAATGCAGTAAACGTTAGGAAGATGACATCAATAAAATGTGCAATCTTTCTGTGGCATGTCAATAAGGACATGTCATGTTGTGGGAAATAAAATTGGTCCTTTCTTTGACAGCATTTAGATGGGCAGTAGACCTCAATAGAGTCCAAAAATAGTATGCTTTTCTGCTTTTATCAATAATGATTTTACCAATAAATGAGACAATACCTCTAGTGAAGCATGCCTGTGGAGATGACCTGGGAAATTACTGAAGTATCATGTCAAATGTTCAGGAGGATACAACTGCTTAAAGACTCTGAAGATAGATATTGAACTGCTGACATTGGCCTTTGAATGTTTTGTACAACCCTAACATGAACATGTTCTTATCTTCCTGCCTTATCTCTCTACCTATCCAATTCTTTTGAGGAAAGGGAAAATGCTTCTGATGGCTTCTTAACTTCCCTGGTTTTGTTTCTTCAGTCATAGTATACCAAGGAATGTCATCATGTTTGTTGACTGTCAAAGACTACATTCCATTGGGGATAATCCACCTCAGCCAGATGTTAAGAATGATTGAAACAAGATTCTTTGGGTAACACAGAATCAAATGTTGGTGAGAACACCTACTCCATTTGTGAAACCCTTTCTAACCCTCTTTTTCAGCCTCTTTCTGACCTTTTCTCATTATTGTCTTACAAAAGCCTTGAACTCATTTCCTGCAAGTTAGTGAAATTAGACAGATGACCATATGATCACAAGTAGCTTCAAGATGCTGGTTGGCTACACCCGTACTGTATGTTAAATGTATACAGTAGCTAGCAAATGCACGTTTTAATATAGAAAGAAGAGAGAAGTTGATATGGATCAGGAAGAATGATAGGGCTAAAACCATCAATTTGTAAGTTCTATGTGTATAATTCTTGACTATTTCTATTACATATTACAAATTTCATATATACTAGATTTTTTTTATCTTGGCTCACATTGACCTACTCACTGTGATATGTATTATGGAGAAATATTATTATCTCTCAAACAGCAATCATATGTGTGTGCTCAGAAAGAGGATGAGGCAGTATTCAGTGCATTGTTCATTGCACTACCCATAGAATCTGGCACTCATAAATCTGATTATCATAAATTTTAGCATACAAGTCATACACATTTAGCATACATGCCACATTTTAGCATATTAATCATGCCAATAACATAATCAGGGAAGACCTGTAAACAGTGGTATTTCATTAAAACCCATATTTTGGTTTGTATCATTGGCTGTTTGGCATTGGCTACATGGCCAATTTTAAATGAACACAGACTAAAAAGAAAAGTTTTATAAATATTAGCAAAGATAATGCGATCAATACAAAAAAGCATAAAATACATAGGTTTTCTGAAGCAATATTGTGAACTGATATATTTGTACATTGCATTATCAAACTGCATAGTTTGAAGACAGTAGAAAATATTTTTAGACATAAAATATTAAAAGATTGTGTCTTAATCTTGGGTATGTTTTTTGAAGTTAGCAGTATAATGCCCTCAATTAACTGCTGAAGAGTAAAACTGTTTTTGTCTCTAAGCTGTTATTGTATTAGTTTATATTAATTTGGACAATCCTGGCAGCCAAAGGCTATTAAATTCATATTTAATGTCAAAATGAAAAATATCCAATCAGCAGCACACCGACACATACACACAAAGCATGAGAGATACAGACTAATTGGTGTAAAACTGCAATCACAAAATGTACATGATAAATTTTGCCTGTCTAGCTTTAATGAATCAATATGGTTTGTTTGTACCCAGTCAAGCAGAGGTTTTGCAAGCACAAACATCTTTGTTTTACATTAAAAAGTATGGAAATAAATTTGTACAAAAATTACATGAAAGGCGAGGTTATAACTTCTTTTACAGGTATTACGGCTTTTAAAAAAGCTACAATCTGAAATCATTGGAACTAAGAAATCAAGAGCATTTCATTGCTCTCATCATTAGTTCAATGATTCAATAGCCAATGTACATATTTATACAGAGAGACTTTGTTTTTAAAATTTGGAAAAGAAAAGGAAGATGAAAAGTACCGAATAACATACATGAACATTCAGAAAATTTCAAATATGATAAGAGAAATACTCTCGGAGAAGAAACATATGATATTTAGATGTTCAGTTTTAATTTACAGAGCATAAAGGAATTTATCCCGCTTTCTCCTTCTCACTTCCTTCTTCCCTGTACCTTCCTTTAGTTCCTTCCTGGCCAAATGAGGGAACTGGACAAAAGTATGAAGGTCTCACCTAAAGACGTTAACAATCAAGATTGCAGCTCATCTACCCATAAGACCTTCCTGGTGTTAGACATGAACCTTTGCACAAAACAGATCCAGAAATGGCTCATAATCCATCCTAGGAAGATTTAGTAAAGTGATCTTGTTTTGAATGTATTTCAAGAATATTGGGGTGGGAGTGGCCATGTGCCTGATAGCAATGTTGTCTAATGCCTCTCATAGACCATACCAACATTTCCTTAGATATCTTCATGTTTCATGACCAAACGTTGTAATTTTATTTTGCTTTGGGGGCAGAGGGATGGAGAGAAAGAGAAAGACAGAAGTGTGATGTTCCTCAAGGAGTAACAATTATTTTCTTATTTTACTTCTAAAACACTTTAATTTTACTAGAAAACTTTGACACTATGCTGCACTAGCATTTTGTTAGCATGAATGCTTCAGGATTTACATATCCTAAAGAAAAAAAAGTAGACTGAAAAGAAATGAAATTTATTTATTTTCTTACAAGACGATTTTCAACTAAGTTCAGGTTAGGATTTCAACTTCTGCTATATACCCTAAAAATGAAAAGCATTCTGACATTTTATTAGGAAAGCATCTGTTCTGAGAAAAGAAGGAAAGAGAGAGTAAAAGAGATGGAAAAAAATAGAAGTTGTCCTAGCATAACATAGAAAGGTCATTTGGACATTCCACAATTAAACTAATTTCATACTGTAACTATCTAGGCAGTAACTTAGTTGATATCACGTATGCACTTAAGAATAAAAAGCCAAGAGGATGTAGAATATTAGAAAAACTGAAACCATTTAATGGAGAATATGGATTCCAAGAACACTGCATACTTCTACCTATGTAGATAAGAAACAATTTCTTTCTTCTTCCCACTTATTGCTGTATTTTCTACAGTTTGAGTATCTGGTGAATTGTGAAAAGTAAAGGATAAATCCAATGTTACATGAGCAGTCTATTTATTATTAAAAGGCTGTCATTCTCTTTTTCCCTAGAAAGCAATAACAATTTAATCCCTAAATCTGATATCAGATATGCAGTGAAAATTCAGCACAGGAGACATAGGAACATTTAGGAAAAGAATGGGATGTTACTTTTAATTACTGTACATTAAAAACATATATTCTTTATATGACTCTCCAGTGGTGACTATTTTTTCTTCTTTTTCTTCCAGACCATATGTGTACATTTCACCATAAAAACTGATCTTCAATGACCAAAAATATTTTGTTTGGATCTTAACCATTCAGACGTACCTAACCTTATATCTGCATAAATCAAATCAAGGAACCTACAGTGCTTCAATACGTTTCTTTCAGTTAATCCTGTTGGATGCTTTGTTTTTATGTGGGTTCAACTCACTGGCTTCTGTGCAGATATTTAAGAATAAACTTATTTGTAAAAGTGAGAAGATGGGACAGAAAGGGGAAACAAACTTAAAAGAAAAAAAATGGTTTACTATTGACGGATCTATTTTTCTCACAAATCTATGCATCAGGGAGGGAAATACCACAAACTGTTTTTATGCTTGTTGTTTACACTCTATGCAAATGCAAAATAGGAGGTATCAGATATATATGTTTACTATTTAAGTGATAAATAATATTCTAAAAGAGTAATAAAAAAAAAGAAGAAGCAGAGAAACATTCACAATTAAGACCAAATCAAGCAAAAAAAAATATTCACTCAATACATCTGTTTTGATTGGGTGGCTTCATGCCCAGTTTTGTTCAAATGACCAAATGAAATGGGTCGCAAAGAAACCTATTATCTGCACATGTTGAATTGCGACTCAATGGCTCAGCAAGGCATCAAAGTGAGACCTGTCCTCCTGAAAAGGAACAGCCTGGATTCAGTTGATTTTAAGAGACATCCACACCATCGCAGGAGCAAATCACAACAAGTCCGATTTAAAGAGGATGGAGCAGATAATCCAACAGTTGTAGAATCAGAGCTAGAGGCAGGAGATACCCAAGATCCATCTGTATTGGATAAAATACAAACTTCCCAAGTCCATAACTTATTAAACGATTCCCTCTGTTTGCCGCCATCTTGCAAAGGATTACAAAATATTGCCATACAGACTTCTCCAAGCCTCAGGAAGCACTTTCCAGTGTTTAAAAAGAAAAGAATTACAACAAGCAAGTCTCTAACGGAAATGCCAAAAGAGTCTGAATATGCTTTTCAAGTCAACGGCAATCTTTCTCAACAGGACATTATTTCGTCTAGTCTCTCTTACTTGAGTATCGCTCAGCGTTTAAATGATGGGCCAAAAGCAACAGCAAATACTTTATTCCGAAGGGTACCTAAAGCACAAAGCAATGGCCCTGTCCATTTGGGTTCTGATCAACTCGCAATATTAGAAACAGCCACAGTTTCTACCCAGGTCCCTGAATATGCACACCTGGGTTCTGCACTAGACAATTTTTCCATTTATCCGGACACACAAGTGGACTTAAGGAGCTCCACTGATCCTTCTCCCACTAAGAGGGAATCTGAAGAAATCTGTTCTGTGCTAGTGGAGTCCGAAAACCTGACTTGTGTAAGTCAGAACTGTAATGATGCGCAAATGGGTCAGAATTCATGTGAAGAGAAATGCTACACTGAGCTGCCATCTAAGAATGACATCAGCGCTAAGGAAAACTTTCTCCCATTGTCTCAGTTTCACCACAATCCTTTACCCTGCTCTCTCCCAGAGCCTCAGCAGTCAGTACAACTGCAAGTAGACACTGGCCCTAAGATACAGATGAATGACAACCAAACAACATTATTCACTATCAACAGTGTGTCACCCCTTATTCCCTCTTGTCAATCTGTAACAGAAAACATTTCCACTAATACCAAAGTGCCACCGTACAACAACTGCTTAGAAGGCTTTCACATAAATGCCTATCTTTCAGGGGCTGAAACAAAATCGGAAAAGAAAGAGATTAAAGAAATTAATCAAATTCATTTGGCACACAGTGAACTCTGTGCCCTACAAGGCAGACTTCAGTCCGTGGAGGAATCTTTGCTGTCAAACCAGGAGAAGATTAAAGTCCTCTTGAATGTAATTCAAGACATGGAAAAGGCCAGAGCCCTCAATGAAGGGTATGTTGTGATCTTATATTTACAATTACTTTATTCAAACTAACTATAGAGTACATTATTTGCTTTACATTTGACTCCCATGTATATTCTTAGGAAAACAGTTGTTTAGAAAAACCACATTTTCTATGCTATTTCTACACTGCTTTTTCTTCATTGTAAATTTTATTCAATAATCTTTTCAGCTGCCTTTTCAGCCTGAATTTTATGCAATGTTTTTGGTAAGAGTTATCAATGTTAAAGTAAAGCTGAGATGCTAAAATTTTGCTAGTCTAAGAAGGTTTCATTCTCCTGCGCTCTTTCGTTCTGATTCAAATAGTGTTAAATTATACATCGGACTAGCACAAATCTGATTTGTTGGCAAAAACGTATTAAAAACACCTGCCCCCCAATGTTTTTTTTTAAAAAAAGTTTCATCAGCTACTGAATAAACTGGTAAAAGGAAAAGAGAATTCTCAAGATCATCCTGTAAATTTTGTAGCAGTAAATTCTTTTTACTGCTGCCTTCTTTTTAAACAGCCACATATATAACCATAATTTCATATATAAATACATATACATACATACGTACATACATACATATATCAAACTGAATCTAAGAATTTAAATTAGAAGTGATGTTTTATATATAACCACCACCTTTCTGACTTATATTCATTTTTCTTGATATACATATTATTAAATTCTACTGGCTGTAAGTACTTACAACTTTAAGTAGGGAACTGTTATGAAACCTTTTTCCTTACAAAAAGTATTATCCTTTGATTACTGCCCACTTACAAAGCTACCAAAAGAAGAGTATATTTTATACCTCTTTTTATGAAAAAAAAATAACTGGATTTGGTTAGGACTCCTGGTCCTTTTATGTGGACCTAACAAAAAAGTCCATTTCAAGTTAGCATATCATTATTACAGGATGTAAATATGCTTTCACACATAGTATTATTTGCTGCTATTTCAGGAAACCCCCATTGATTCTAAAATCAAGAATTATGGGATTAAATATGTGGACGCTGCAAAGACTAAATTGGTTTACTTTTCTTAAGGATGCATATACTGATGGACCAGTAACACCTATCCCTTTAAAGATACCAGCTTTTTAATGATAAAAACTTACTTTGAAATGGAACTTCTAGAAAGCAAGCTATTCAATCAAATGATCACCTTAAATGGATGGAACTCATTTTACCAATTGTTAAAGATATTTTTTTCAAAGAACCTCTCAAAAATTGGAGAGCACTGATGCTGTACAAAAGAAATGGAGGAGAAACTTTTTAAATAACTGCGAATGATTTATCCCATATCCCAAAATATAATAAGTTGTATCAAATAAAATGTACCAAATAAGAAGAGTAAAAATAAAATAAATCATATGAATAAAATCACATAAAAGAGAAAGGTGTAAACTAAAAATGATATTAATTTACATCTCAAACTCAGGAATGAGTGAGCAAATCTGAATCATTTGCTAGGCTTTCATAGCAGTAACTCTTCAACAGGCCCAACTTCCTGCTCATTGCCAAATTGTGATATTCTGATTGGACAAGGCAACAGTCTGCTTGTCCAGACAGAACAAGATCCATGTTTAACAGAAGGAGGGTAATTCACTGTAGGGAAACATTATAGAAATTCCCTAATTATTGTGAATGTCATAGTACCCCTAATTTTCAGACTGCTTCTATTATAATAAACTACTTCATGCTCATTGGCTGTCATGCTACTGCAATTAACATATTTGTTCCACTCAGCCAGAAACATTTACACTAACCCCTTCATTATAGGGACATTTAAAAAAAAACCCATGTCCTACATATTCAACAAGAAGCAAAACTGGTTCCTTTTTTTTTTTTTTTACTTTCCTAATCAATCAGCACTAAATTTGTATTTCCTACAAGTACGGTTTTTTAAATATTTAATAAAGTTGAAATGTTTCAAATATTTAAAACCACTGGGAAAAAATTACTATTATTAATCAATTTATATTTTGCTTTCGTGCAATTCTTACCTCGAGTATACTCCAAGTCTAACTTAATTTCATTCATCCCAATGTATTTGGCTATGGGTCCCCTTTCGTAATATGAATTTCTGTGAATTCATCTCATTTAGATCGTCTGTATTTAGATGCACTTGAAGTACAAGGTGTGGAAGCGTGATATTTGCTCTGAATGTTAAAAATACTGCCAAAGCAATTACAACCTGAAATGCACAAACAATATCGGTTCCAATTTCTGTATCTATGAGAGGAACTTAATAGCTATAAAATGATTCATTAGTGTGAAAGGCAAGGTTTACTGCAGTTCTAATTGCGTAAGTTCAGGACCAGCGATGCTTCAATAGTCTTTAAGAACTAGTGAAATTCCATAATAGTTCTAAAATGTGTTTGCCAACTTCAGTCTTCACTGATGCAGTCATAATGTTAACAGTTTTTAGATTCCTTAAGTAAAAAAGATCCTTTGCAGAGGAAAAATACAACAACCATTCTTACATTATCATAAGCTTATGCTACTGTAATTAACATATTTATTTCACTTGGCTAGAAACAAGCCTAAATCACACAGGAAAATGAAATACTTCAACAATGGTCCAAAGCCAACTTGGTCTCATAGATAATATACTCGTTCTTTAAGAATTAATGCTTTGTCCCTCATGTATTCTTGGAACTCTCATCTGTTGTTTTATGAATAAAGGAAGCATTTATTTACTGAACTAGATTTTCCCTTAGTGCTGAATATGTGTATATGCATTTTTGTTTATCTTCATGTGCACAATAATTATAGAATGACACAAAGGGGAAGGGAAAGTCACCAAAATATACCACAACAGAGAGAGAGAGAGAGAGAGAGAGAGAGAGAGAGAGAGAGAGAGAGAAGAAGAGAAAGAAAGAAAGAGAAGAAAAGAAAGAAAGAAAGAAAGAAAGAAAGAAAGAAAGAAAGAAAGAAAATAGATAGATAGATAGATAGATAGATAGATAGATAGATAGATAGATAGATAGATAGATAGATAGCAGTGGCGGGTTTCTACCAGTTCGCCCCAGTTCAGGTGAACCTGTTGTGGTGGCGGCAGAAGGCTCTGCTCACCCACCCAGATGTCATCATGGATGCTCTGTGCATGCACAGAAGCGCTGCCTGCGACTGAAGCAAGTGCGCATGTGCACTCACAGTTCCAAACTAGTAGTGAAGGTAAGAGATAGATAGATAGATAGATAGATAGAGAGAGAGAGAGAGAGAGAGAGAGAGAGAGAGAGAGAGAGAGAGAGAGAGAGATCTTCAGCACAAATAACAGTTTCTCTTATTATGCTATAAATGTCTGCTTCCTTAGTTAGGTATTCAAGAGACAATTTGGTGTAGTGGTGAAGCCTTCAGACTAGAAACCGGGAGACTGTGATTTCTAGTTCCGATTGCCTTAGTTACAAAACCAGCAGGCCGATGTTGGGCCAATGACAGCCCTAGGAAGCAGGCGGTGGCAAGCTATTTCTGAAATCTTGCCCAGAAAAGTACAGAAACTAGTTCAGCCAGTTGCCAGGAATCAACACTGATTCAATGGCATCTCTCTCTCTCTCTCTCTCTCTCTCACACACACACACACACACACACACACACACAGAGAGAGAGAGAGAGAGAGAGAGAGAGAGAGAGAGAGAGAGAGAGAGAGAGAGAGATTCTTTTGGAGTCTTTTTAACAATGTTATAGCATTGTAATCCAGTGAACTGGTAGTGATAAAAGCTATGGGTTCAGCAAAACGGTAGTAAAAAAAAGCTACCAGTTGGTCCAAACCGGTATTTCCAACAATCAGCTGTGCCATGCAATTTATATTTGCTAGAAAGCAGGAAATCCTGCTTTCTAGCGAATCTAAATAGCGTGGCACAGCTGTTCCTCCCCCTCACTGTTCTACTTACCTTGTTAAATGTCCTTTTTCCACACAAAGTGCATGTTTGGCATGCACTACGCATGCACGCGCAACATGCATTTGGTGCACATTGTGCATGCTCAGCGTGCTTTGGCATGCACGCACATGCACGGGCAGCGAACCGGTGGCAAACTACTGAGGACCAGCAGAACTTGGCCAGTGTACAAAAAATCAAGCAGGATCAAATTTAGTTAGCACACAGACAGGAGTTCATTAAAGAATCTTAGGACTTAAATTAGTCTGGGAAACAACATTTTTTTGGAAAAGCTCAGATGGCAATGTCAGACAACCTCTGCTTTGTCAAAAGGAAAACAACACATACATGTCCAGTAGTCACAAAGAGTCAAGCTCAACACTTCAGTTTCATGAAAACTTTTATGGTAGCACAAAACTATTCTATTAGAAAAGGAGTAAGTTGAGTTCCTCAGAAAGCAGTCAGGAATTCATTTGAGGCTGAATAATCAGTCAACAACTCCTGGCTAATTATTATTCTTCAGGCTGAGAATCCCACTAAAGTCATTTCACATGGAGGTCATTTCTTTGTAAAGAGGCTTTTCTCCCATGATGATGAGCCATGGTGGTGCAGTGGTTAGAGTGCAGTACTGAAGGATACTTCAGCTGACTGCTAGCTGCAGTTTGGCAGTTCAAGTCTCACCAACTCAAAGTTGACTCAGCCTTCCATCCTTCCGAGGTGGGTAAAATGAGGACCCAGATTGTTGGGGGCAATAGGCTGACTCTGTAAACCACTTACTGTAGAGAGGGCTGTAAAGCACTGTGAAGCGATATATATGATTATGTGCTATTGCTATTGCTATGATTCTTGATTTTGATGAATGTGTGCCAAACTCAGCCTTGATTATTTCCTAAAATTATGTCTACTAGAACTGGATTGTAATAATATGGTCCACTAGCAGCAAATATATTACTAAAATAAAAATGTGCCATCTTGGAAAAATTTAAGATGTTTATTTATGTTCCAAATAAAAATTGTATGAATTAGGAAGATTATGGAACAGAAAATGATGCAGTAAATGCATAAACAGAAGAAACCCATGGATCTTTAGCATTCCCCTAAGTGGGGGTTTTTGTTTTTTGTTTTTGAATTGTCACTATTAATCTGTGCTTCATATGAATTTCAAGAGCTTATTTTTATCCCAACATATATTTTATTTATTTATTTATTAGTCCAATTTGTATGCCCCCCTTCTCCGTAGACTCAGGGCAGCTTACAATGCATTATAGCAATAGCCTGCATACTTTTTTGTATATACCTGCTTATTAAGGCTTTCAGGCTCCCCTAAGCAGTGTTGTTCTATACAAAGTTGGCTTATTGCCCCCACAATCCGGGTCCTCAATTTACCTACCTTGAAAGGATGGAAGGCTGAGTCAACCTTGAGCCTAGTGAGATTCGAACTTGCAGTACTTGCAGGCAGCTGGCAGCTAAGTGCTAGCACTTAACCGTGCCGAGTTTCGCCGTGCTCTCAAAACTTTTCTATTTCAGCAAGCTGGCCTTTTAAATTTTTTAAATTTTTCAATTTGTGATTTTATAAATTGGGTGTTTAAATCTGTGTTTCGGCCGAAATATTTAATAATTTTAAGGGATTTTTTAAATATTTGTATTATCTGTATTTTATCTTGGCTGTTCACTGCCCTGAGTTCTTCGGGAGTAGGGCGGTATAGAAATTGATAAATAAATAAATAAATAAATAAATAAATAAATAAATAAATAAATAAATAAATCAGCACTTTAGTCCGCATCACCGAGGTTCTTATATGCAGTCACAATGTCTACTGAGAGTTGTGCTAAACAAATACCTTCAGAGAACCAGCCACTTCTCAAAGCAAAGCAGCCACTCTAAATTATTTGATGAGAATGAATGAATAATAGACAAATTAGTAAATAATTGCATTTATGCTTAAAGCATCTCAAGTGCTGCTGTAAAAACCTAACAAAAGAAGTTAGCAACAGATGACAATTGCATAATATTAGCCACACTTTATTCCAGTTATGACAAGTATTCCTTGACTTATAACCACAACTGAGCCCAAAATTTATGTTGCTAAGCAAGACAGTTGTTAAGTGAATTTTGCCCCATTTTACAACCTATCTTGCCACAGTGGTTAAGTGAATCACTGCAACTGTTAAGTTACTAACACAGTTGTTAAAGTGAATATGGCTTCCCCCATGGACTTTGCTTGTCAAAAAGTCGCAAAAGGTGATTGCCGAGATGGCGCAGTGGTTAGAGTGCAGTACTGCTAGCTGCAGTTCAGCAGCTCAAATCTCACCAGGCTCAAGGTTGACTCAGCCTTCCATCCTTCCAAGGTGGGTAAAATGAGGACCTAGATTGTTGGGGGAAATATGCTGACTCTGTAAACAGCTTAGAGAGGGCTGTAAAGCACTGTGAAGCGGTACATAAGTCTAAGTACTATTGCTATTGCTATCGCATGACCTTGGGACACTGCAACCATCATAAATATGTGTCAGTTGCCAAGGCCTTAAATTTTTATCACATGACCACAGGAATGCTGCAATGGTTGTAAATGGGAAAAACAGGGATAAGTCACTTTTTTCAGTGCTGTTGTAACTTCAAATGGTCACTAAATGAAGTGTTGTAAATCAAGGACTACCGGTACTATAAAAAGATAATGTACCATTGGTTTATGCCTAGCTCTTCCCCATCAGATATATTTTAAGAGTCGGTCGAGACTTCTTCCATGTCAGTGAAAGTGACCATCTGAATTCACCTCCCTGGTACTGTAAATGATAACAGAATCCAATGCAGATTTTCTTGGAAGGATATCCCCATTTTCTTTTGTGAGCTTATTCCCACCAAAATTAGACTTGCAATTAACCTTTGCCAAACTAAAACCAAAATTGTTGTAATAAATTTAATATTTATAGAAGAAAGTGAGCATAGAACATCAAGGAAATAAATGTAGAGTTGCTGATTTGATAAATAAATCATGGCAACTATTGTTTATTGCAGACGGAACTTCTATCGCACTGGTCAAGATCTCAACAATTGCAGCACTTGCCAGAACACCGCATGTATCATTTACAGGTACCTCCTATCAATGGGTAATTGTATATATCTGTTTCAAGATGCTCTATTATTAAGTATTCCATTCACGGGTATTGTGGTACAATCTTAAAGGCAGTAAATGATCCAATCTGGTTGTGGCTGAAGCCAATGATTAAGTGCCATTGATTTCACATAATTATAGTGTGGACAAAACTTAGGAAGGGGGGAAAAGAAACAGAAAAAAAAATCCTTTTTATAAGACATTTTTAAGAAGGAGCTGCTGATTTAAAACATTAAGGGAAACATTCAGACTATTTCATAAAAATAATATTTTTGAATTACAATTGCTAGAACAAAATAATAGTGTAAAAAAGGTTAGTTCCACTAATGACTTGTTTGACTCTTCTTTAGAAATTCAAGGACAGGGTTCACACAACTTATTCCTTAACTATGGGCTTGATAATAAAGGCACCGTTGGCTTGGTTGCACTAATTCATAACCAACCAACTTTGTTCATGCTATATGAACCTAGCCACTTAGTAATTTAAAGCTCTGTAAATTAAATCTCGGGTATCCAAAGCCTCTGTTTTACTCCATTTAGTATCAGAAAATACACAGATGAAGGTTGTATGAGTGGAATATTTTTAGACTAGACAGAACTTTGTCTTTGCTGTTTTCCTTGTCTTCATGTAGGACTCAGGTCATATAATCATGGTATCTAAAAATGCTGGATTTTGCCACCACAATTAAACATGCCTTATTTGTATATTTTGGGATTATGGTGGTTCTTAAATAAATCAAATGAAAAATTCCAGAAAAGAGTATATTAATTTCTGTATGAGAAGATTGGAAAATTAACCAATATTGAACAAATAAAAGAATTCATAAAATTGCTTTTTATCTCTCTGACAGCAGTCAATTAGGGAAAGCTGAAGTATAAGTACGACCATTCTTCTAACAAGAGTTTATAATTAAGCAAAAGAGGAGTGGCATTGTATATCAAAGAAAAATTAGAACCTAAATTACTTTTTGAGGATGAAGATGGCAGGATTCTGATGGTGGAAATAAAAATTAACTTTAAACAAATACTTTTGATAGCAATATATGCACCAAATATAAATAATAACCTTCTTCAAAAAAAAAATAGAAAATATTGACTTCATATTAATTAATTCAGGGCATCATCAAGCATATAATTGAGCAAATATTATTTTCCTGAAATTCCACAATTTGGCAATTCTTGACAAAGGCACAGTTGGCTTAGTAAAACCAAACCAACTGTGTCTTTCACAAAATTTCAAACATTGTTAAGGAAATTAATGGAATAAAGGGCAGGTCTACTCATACATTGGTAAGTAGTTAAAACTGAAAAGAAAGAAAGTAACTATGCAAATAAATTGATAGTTACTGGTTATCCACTGTTGAAAAGAAAGCAGGTTATGTGGAAATTTAAAGTAAAGCAAAGTCTAGCCAAAAATTAACTGTATGATCAGTTTGAGGGTATATGATGCTATAAACACAGCAGATTTTTTACGTCAGTTACATTAATTAAATTAGCCTTCCACAATTAGGCTGAATGGGAATCCAGTCCAACATATTTGGAGTGCATCAAAGCACATTAAACTATCAAACAGATTTAGCATAATAAAAATTGGGATGTTTTATCATGCTATATAGGGTTTCTTTTTATCTGTAGTCTCCAATTAAATTAAAAGGTATTCTTTCATGTTTATTTAGGAGAGTTTAAGAGAGACGATTTACCAAAGTATCTTCGATGGTTTACAGGATTAAAGTCAATAAAAATCAAGGATTAGTGAACTTTTAAAACCTGAAAAGGGAAATTAATCCCAAATTCTCCTAGTTATTTATGTTCACTAGACCAGGTGAGTTACTGGATGTGGGAAATGATTAATTCTTCTTTAAAGGAAGGCTAGTTGACTTGAAGGAAGCCCGTTAAAATCCCATTTGTCCCAAGAATGTTGATGTTGCTGTTATTTGTGATTGTTAGCTGCTGATGCATATCAAAAGGCCATCATTTCCCCTGAAATACCTTTTGGGAAAGATGCTACATCATAAGCACAAGTGATAAACTTTAAGTATAAATAATATTTCTAGGCTTTAAAAATGATGGCCACGCAAGAGAAATACCAGAGACATAGTCAAACTTTTATTGTTCTTCTCCCAAATGTCCTTTGAATGATAAAAATGCACTATAAATTTAGGAGAACATGCTGTAGCCCTGCTTCATTTCCTCTGCCTTGACATATATTCATAAGGAAGATATCAGTGTAATAGGATAAAGTTATCTGAATTCTCAGTGTGAAATTGTGAGATTAGGACTGCAGTCTCATGTATTTAAGTAACAGCACATACAAGACTGAGCTCGTTATTTTGCTCCCTTTTTGGGGCCTGAGTACAACATTGGGACATACTGTATAAAGAAAAAGGACTGGGACTCAAATAGTAACACCTTTATTTTCATCAATCTGACTCTGTATTTGCCCCCATGTGGATGCTGTGAGAACTGGGTTATAAATTATCTTTCAAATTTAGCCATTCTACGTGAGATGCTTCTTCACTTGGCTCTCAGATGGCCATTTTTAAAAATGTACCACCATCCCAATAGAGAGCATGCTTTGCTTTGATGTCTAAATTAATACTTAAATTGCAATATAAGATGCAGTTTAAGAATTAAAATTCATTAAGGAAGCATGCATGTTGTGAAACAGCTATAATTATTCCATGGTCCATTTTCTTCAATTACCTGATTCTCAAATTACTATTGTCATGTTACTAATATGAATGCAGGAACAAACTACTTGAACAAATAATTCATCGATCACCCAAAATCAGGCTGATAAGTGAAACCCCTTTTTGGTAGAAAATGTTCTGTATTAGGAAAGAAAGAAGATCCATCACTCTGGAATCCCACTTCAATTAATATATCTGACAGTGGTTTCTCTGCCAGTTTATTGGAGAACATATAAACACAAATATATATTTGCAGTTTGTAGTGTGTGTCCTACTGAGGACAAAAATATAATTGTTTAATCTGGCTGTGCAATGTATTTCAGATTCACTTTTTAGAACCACGTATCCTTTTTTCCAAAGAAACTGCTACTGATTATTGCTACACTAAAACAACAAGCATCACCTGATCCTCTATATTTTCATACTAATCTCAAACTTCCTTTAGAAGAAAAGGATCAATATAGAAATGAAATAAACGAGAATAATAATCTCATGCATGTTTTATATTCCTTCGAGTCTGATGTTCTTTCTTTTCATAACCTTCTTGAAATGTAGACATACCTGTCATAAGAGTTGGACAGTATGTTTATGAACTAAAATTGGACAAATGCATATCCTAAATAGAGGCAGGAATGAAATATATTTAGTTTGTACTTTAATGCAAATGTATCAGGTAGGCAATTTGCAAAGGAATTCATGAATCAAAATAGATTTATCTGTCAGAGCACACAGGAGGCAGAAAAGGATAGTAGAAATCATTCCCTTCCATTGTTGGCAGGAAGAATAGGAAACTCCAAATTTTCTTTAGTTGTATATACATAGATATAGATGCTGAAAAATTTCATAGAACATCAGACTGAATATTCCTCACATTTAGATACTCCATGTATCCACAGAAGAAATTCATAGTTGCATCAATAGACAGAACGTTACATTTACAAACCAAAATTCATGGAAACAGCTGAAAGGCACACATAACTTACAATAAAAGAGTCCCTAGCAGGAGTCTTAGCATAATATCTAGTACAAGCACAACCATAAACTACCTGGCTATAAATTGGCAGATGAACTTACAGAGGAGCATATTTGTGTATATTTCATTCTTGGTTGTTCAGAAGTACTAATATAGATATCTTCAGGACATCCAGAGTTTTTCTAATCAGAAACAATATATTGTTATGATTATCTTTATAAAAAAGTATAAGGATGGAGTGTTTCATTGCCATCTGAACCACAAGGACAGCTTCTATTACTTAAAGAGATTTTTGAATCTTCCTTTTACTACTCCTGAAGGAAGAATATTAAATTGGATGAGTTTAAATGCCCTGAGGGCATTCTGGAGAAACTGAGCTGCTCAAGGTACTTTGCTGGCTTTGAATAACATGATTGTCAATATTGTGGGGTAGAAACTAATGTCTGTATGGTTAACATCTCTCAGTTTGGGCTTTAATAGACCCTTTGCCTCTCAGAACCCAGTTCTTTCAAGAGAGCTCATATTAATGCTTTTTTTTAAAAAAAAAATCTCACATTTGCATTTCATGTGGATGTAAAACTGTCAGCGAGCACAGAAGTAACTAGGCTCTATTGAAGCAAAATCATCTTTGGTTGCATAAGTTGCAGATACTACGCCATGTAAAATTTCACCCAAGGATCCAGTTTGAGGACAGATGAAATCACTTTTAATAACAGCAATTGATGCAATATGACTTTACGGATACAAATTGGCGAAAGCTATCTATTTAGGTGGCATATCCACACAATTACTGGTTTCATTTCCCCACAAAGGCTTCAGAAACATTTCCATACAGCCCACACAACTGTCCTCACTGTTGTCATCCTTGTCACACAAAGGATTCATGATTTGACCAATGGGGGAGTGCATATATTAGCATTCACCACATGCCTCATTGTGTGTGTTTGCAGCCACAAAAAGCTGTTCTATGTTCATGTTCAATCTTCTGAAATGGTGACAAAACACCATGATGTTTTAATTTCAGAAGGGAGGACAAAGAATTGAGGACATGGAAAAAGGTTCCCAACAATGGGAAACCACCCACTCTATGGTACAGGAATACACAGTGTAGGTTGGTTCTTGCAGAATTTTCTACATTGCCATAGCAGAGTTAAAAGTTTTACTGACTCAGTTTAGAACACTTGGAGTAGGCCGCAAAATGTAGATATAGATCTGTGGCGCCAACTCTGGATCAGTATGTTAGATATGAAAATCTTTGTTTCTTTCCTTTCTTCCTTCTTTCCTTCCTTCCTTCCTTCCTTCCTTCCTTCCTTCC